TAGACATTTAATAGTTCTTTTGAACAATTATAGCCTAATTTATTGTATATTTCGTTTATTAGGTAAAACTTGATGAATGGAAGTGGAATGGAAAAAAGAAGCGAAGATGACAAGATCTAAAGTTTGTGAACTAAAGTGTAAATGCTCAAAAGTTATGTGGAACCGCGCAATGAAGATTTAGAATGTTAGGGGTCAATCTGATGCAATTAGAAGTCAAAAAGGAATGAAATATGTATACAAATCAATTTTCAACTGCACATGTATGTTCCAGATTTTTAGCTCAAAATTGAAACCCATTTTTGACCTAATAAACGTTCGAATTGGAAACAAGCTATATCAAGTAAAGTTATACCACTTTGAGTTATCTTTCTAACTCATTTTGAATCGTCTTAATTGGATATCAGAAGATAAAGTTATGTCAAAAACACTGAAGAAGGACGCATAGTGGGAGCAACAAGTGGCGCCAACTCTCGGGAAAAAAGATCGGATTTGCGGCGCTGCAGCATCATATAGGAGCTGCATGTCGCCAAAAATAGGATTTTTCAAGTGCAATTCATCTTTTTAAAAGCCCAATTCGACTAAAACTCTTCCAAGACTCAAAGAAGACATAATTATAACTCTAATTCTACACAATTTGGGAGAGATAAACGCGTAATCATCAAGATCAAAGAGCAAAAGTTAGAGTTTGAAAACTTTTAAGATCCAATTCTTTCCATAACCAAGATTTCAAAACCTGGTTATGAATTCTATACTTTTTGTTTTTCTTTCATTATTATGAGTAGTTAAATTAATAGTTAGGGCAACCAATATAATCTATGTGTGACCATTTATTCCTTTTATTCAAGATTCTGATTCTTTAAATGCATGTGTGCTTATTTTATTTAATATTTTGAATTCTTTTGCAAATTATTCAATAATTTTGTGAATTTATTACGAATCGAGAGGTGAGTGTTAGATTTAGACCACATAGTAAAATTCGATAATTTATTATGACGTGTATGTATATATTAATTATTGATGTCATTAGATGAGTTCTTAGAATTAATATTTCATTTAACTAAGTTGATTTACAAGAGATATTGAATTGAATTAGTTAAATAGATTCAATGAGAACTCAAGATGGGTAAATTAAATACTTTAAAAGTATTCGACCGAATAATAAAATAGTAATGAATCTTGATTGGGGAATTAAAGGGGATCCAGATGTAAAATTATAAGTCCTAGTATCCACATTCATACTTTTAAAATTCAAATTCAATAAATTGTGTACGTTAGATAATTTAGTTTAGTTAGAATAATTAGACAGCAATCAAAAATATTATTATTTATTTTCGATCAAATTAAATTTTGAAATAATTTAACCAATTATTAGATAGTAGTTCTTGAATGAACGATATCTGGATTCATTAATCCACTATATTACTTGTTACGTTCCGTACACTTGCGGAATATAAAAATCGACAACAATAATCTACTTCAAACCCAGTCCGTCGAGTTCATCCCATTTTTGATCATGCTCTACATTCATTCACTCCACGGGAATACTTCAGCATCAAACATGGTAAAATACACTATTCCCCACAAATTCAATATTGAGAAATAGAGCCCATGTTTGACAACTATTAAAACAAAATTTCTATTTTTTTTCAAATTCATTTTCAATCAAATATTCTCACAATAAAATATTTTACAAGTAAATTCAATTAATATAACATCCAATCCTGTAGACAGTGAACTTGGTTGGAGTTTAACCAATCCCACATTGAAGCATTATGATTGGGATGTGAAAAAATAGTGGTTATAGAATCGACATGACACAGAAAATGTGCAAGTTTCTTACAAAATCCCATGAGGATATATATATATATATATATATATATATATA